ATGCATGTTTGTGAGTGTATTACCTGTGTCTGGGTGTGTGCATGTGGGTCAGAGTGTGTGGTCAATGGCTGTTGATGCTGAGAGGAAGTGATTCAGGGGCTGGAGTTACTCTCTTTGTATTTCTGCTTTTGTGCAATGTACTGGTAACTTGTGTTGTCAGATCGCTTATTGAAAAGATGTTAGAAATTTCCTTAATCTGGTCTGAAATTCACCTTGTTTTATTTTTGGGTGTGTAATGTATGAAGGTGTGGGCAGGTGGAGGATGAAACACTAGACCTTCCAAACAGTCTGAGGTCAGTTCTCAGAAATTAGTTGTTGATTGTTTGGCGATCACCACCCTTGGATTTGTGAGTAGGACCCAGAGAATTTGAGAGCTTCTGTGGCAGAGATATTGTCCTGTTCTGAGAAGATTAGAGACACATTGACAAGCAGGAAACAGGTCAAATTTGTGGCTTGTTTCTATCCAATATTTAGACATTCTGACCTTTAAAAATGATTTAATTTCACTGATACTGTCACCTGCCTACCAAGTGCCAGGTGCTGAATTTTCAAAGATAAATGAAAGCAATCATTATCCTCAGGAGCTAATATTTGGTCTTTTCTTGAACAAGACTTTCTGGGCCTAATTCACTCAGCATCCATCTCTGTCTCACTAGTAGCCTTTGGGATTTTCAGAACCAGATGTGTGAGGTGAGATGCTGGAGTGGCTGATGGAGGAGAGTGGGGCCGGGGTCCAGCCCTTGCACTTTCTAACTCTCCTTTTCAGGTGCACAGTGACCATGGGAAGTAGGAAACTGGGCTCCTTAAGGAATGCTGTGGTAGGTAGTGTGGTGAGGATGGCAGCTCTGGTGGTCCCTCAGCTCGTCTCTTGGCTCCTCAGGCTACGAGAGCATGCCCTCCAGCACTCCCAGAGATGGAGATTGAGTGTATTTCCTTGAGGGACTAGAAACAGGATTTGTTAGCTACTTTTAAGGACATTAGCACTGGGGCCAGCCCCATGGCTAAGTGGTTAAGTTTGTGCGCTCAGCTTTGGCAGCCCAGGGTTTTGCTGGTTCAGATCCTGGGCACAGACCTAGCACCACTCATCAGGCTGTACTGAGGCGGTGTCCCACATAGCACAACCAGAAGGACCTACAACTAGGATATACAACTATGTCCTGGGGGTCTTTGGGGAGAAGAAAAAAAAAAGAGATTGGCAACAGATGTTAGCTCAGGGCCCATCTTTAAAAAAAAAAAGAACATTAGCAGGAGCAGGCAGGGCAATTTGAGGCCTTGTGGAATTGTCTCTGGGGAACTGTGGTTACTTCACTCCATTCAGAGGAGATTGGGCAGTAGCTAAGGGTGGGGCAGAGAGACAGATGCACAACAATGCTCTGAGCAACTTTTTTCTAAGGCTCCCATACTCAGCTCGTATCCCCTCCCCAATACAGCATCCTCTCCACCACGCTGAGGCACTAAGTGAACTGGGGTGAGATTCCCCCTCTCTGTTGAAAACCCATTCTGCTAAGGCTTCGTGATGCCCTTTTGTGACTTCTTTCTCCCTTCAGTACTGCCTTTGATATTCATTTTAGCCTGATGTCACTTGAGTCAAATGAGTGGGGATGGGGTGAGTGAAGTTTTTCCAGACTCCCATTCTTAGGGTAGACCCTGGGCCCTGCACATTTCTACTTCTCCAGGATGACCCTGGGAATTTAATTCTAACCTGGGTCCTATTGTAGCTCTTTTACCAGCCTAGATGCTCCCTAAGTACAGTTTAACGAGAAAGAAAAACAGAGATAGAGAGAGACAGAGACAGAGAGAAGAGAGGCTTCAAGCATCAGGATGTGTTAGGTCCACATGCCTTTGCAGTCAGGTAGAGCAGACCTGGATTTAAGGCCTCGCTTTGTCCTTTTTTAACTGTGTGACCTTGGCAAGTGACGTAAGCTCCCTAAGACTCAGTTGCTTCATCTGTAAAATGGACACGATGCCCACATAATAGTTGTAATAATAGCAACATGTATTGAGCATTTACACTTATTAATTCAGTTAATGCTCATACATTTCTAGGAAATAAGTACTAGTGTAGTTTTCATCTTTCAGACGAGGAAACTGAGGCACAGAGAGGTTATTTAGCAGGCCCAAGTTAATGTAATTTGTAAGTGGTGGAGCTGGGATTCTGAACTTGGACAGTCCAACCCCAGAGCCTGTGCCCTTAACTACTGCACTAGACTGTGTAGTTCACAGAATGTTAACAGGAATGAATTGAGAATAGCATTTGAAGCACTGGGTATAGTAGGCACTGAGTAAATGGTAGCTGTTACCACCAGAGCTGAGAAGCCTGCTTCCATGTGAGCATGTGAAAGATGTGGCCCTGGGTCAGGATGAGGCAGAGAGATGGGTCCTCCTGCTGACATCGGGCTTTGCGCAGTATCAGGGCTTCTTCCAATCTAACTCTGTAGGACAGGGCTTGTTGGCAAAGTCTTGTCCCTGCCATCCCAAAGTTGCCTGACAGGCCCTGAGAGGAAAACACAGGAGCTGAAACTGGGTGGCCATAGGGAGGGGCTCCCTCCCAGCGAGCTTGTTGCTTAAGAATCACTTTTCTGATTCTGCTTCAGAGGAATCTGCCTGTTTATTTCCTGATGTCTTACCATTTGATCAGGGCTCCCAAGGAAGCTACCTGTGGAACAGAGTGGGGCTGCTGCCTAAATTGGCACAGGGTTAAAGCCAGGGAGCTAAGGAGACCCTGCAGGGGCCCAGGGAAATCCAGATGTGGGCTTCAGAGGAGGGAGTATCAGGCTGGCTCTGTTTTCCTGTCATGTGTACCTTGGCTCTCCACCGGGCCCTGGGAACGGCTCGGTCAGCAGTCAGCAGTTCCAGCACACCTGCACCACGCCAGGCGCTGGCTGGGCTAGAGGGAGCGTGGCTCATGGCTGAAGGCTTTTGGAGGCTGAGGGACCTGGATTCCCAGGATGGCTCAGCCACTGTTTAGTTGTGTGACCTTGGTTATTTATTCATCTTCTCTGAGCCTCAGTTTTCTCATCTGTGGGAAAATTGTGAGGATCAAGTGCAATAACATACATGAAGCCCCTAGAGCAGCAACTTACATGCTGTAGGTGCTCAGTAAATGTTGTGAGCCACGGTGGGTGTAGTGGGGGATGTGGAGAAATAGAAAATACAGTCCCTAATCTTTAAGGAGCTTATAGTCTGGGTAGGGGGAGAAGCAGTAAGACAGGTGAACATAGATCACAGCATCAGGACCGCATGCTCTATAACACAGGTCAGCAGGTGTAACGGACAGTGAGAGCTTTGGGAGTTCAGAGGTCGGAGAGCTGCCCTGTGGGCTAAGCTGGTCACAGAAGGCTTCCTGAACAGGTGTCCCTTGTGAATGTGCAACGGTTGGAGAGGAAGTTGGAGGGGCATTCAGAAAAGCGTCTGAGATGAGGCCAAGCAGCATAAGTTCAGGGGATGGAGAAGAAAACTGTTGGACTGGAACCAGGGGTTTGTGGGGCAGACTAGAGGGAGATGAGGTTCAATAGGTAGGTTGGGGCTGTTGTGAGGGCTTTGAATGCCACCCTAAGGATTTTGGGGTTTATCTGAAGATTTTTGAGGAGGGAAATGGCATTAATATTATGACCTTGATTCAGTCACTTATTCTTTTAACCTCTCTGGGTCTTGGATCCCTCATCTTTAAAGTAAGGAGTTTGGACCATGTGATTATAAAGGAGTTTCTGTAGCTAAGGAGTCTGTGATTCTGTGATAGAGGAGATTATTTTGATGAGAAAGTGCAGAATTGGGTGGAAGGGAGAAACTGGAGGCAGAGGGAGTATTTAGGAAGCCAGTGCAATGTCAAGCATGAAGCTTCTTTCTGCCACTTGTAAGAGAGTCCAGGTGTGGGTGGGGAAGATCTTTCCTGTATGTTTTACGGACTTTGATGTTATAAATCTATAATAATTTGAGTTCTGCAAGATTCCTCGCCAGGAGACACCCGTTCTTGGGGTACCTGGAGAAGTGGGGAAATTGGTCAGCTGTTCCAGGAAAGGAGTGATTATTCGGTGGGCTTCAGGTGTATATCATTCCTATTCTGCAGTAAACCGGGAAGAATAAAAATAACAGGAGTTCCTTATTGTCCGTCTTTACATTTTTACGTGTGTAGAGATTTCCAGTTTACAAACTAGTTTCACAGGCATTGTCTCATTTGCTTCTCACCAGTCTCCTGAGGGAGGTTAGGCAGGGGCTCCCTCCATTTTATGGATGAGGAGAGGCCATAATTTCTCAGGGTCTCTCAGATCTAGGCTTCCTCATTCTCAGTGTAGTTAACTGTCTATGCTTCATGTTCCTCGGACAACAAATAGGGGCTCACTTCTTCTCTTAATTAATTCTACACACACTTATTAAGTGCCTAATATGCATCAGGTACTACACTAATTTGAGGTCCACAAGAGGACATATATTTAAGAAAAAATATTTTTGCTGATTGTAAAAGCAATATAAGCTTATTATAGAAATTTTGTAAAGTAGAGGAAAACATTCCCCTAATGGCACCTCCTGGAGACATAGATATATTTAGACTTTTTCTTTGGCCTATTTTTCTTCTTATTGAGATCATACTACATCTATAACTTTGTATACTGATTTTTCTCACTTGTTATGAGCTGTTTTCATATTACTAAAATTTTAACAAACATTTAGAAAATGTATAACATTATATTAATGGATAATGCATAACAATAATTTCCCTATTATTGAACATCTGGATTATTTCCAATTTTTTCCTCTTTTAAATATTGCTATGATAAACGTATTTTTGCACTGTTTGTTTTGCATTTCTAGTTATTTCCTGGGCTATATTTTTGAAAGCAAACAGATCATTTGGTCAAAGGAGTTACTTGAGCGCTTAATAAATATTGTAAAGTGTTCTCCCCAAAGTTGTTAGAATTATCTCTAATTCCATTGGCATTATATGAGTTGGAGTAAGGGGTTTTGAAATGGGAAAAGAACCTGTTTTCTATTGTTTTGGCAAGGGTGGCCATGAGGAAGACCTTGGGAAGATGGAACGTGCCGTTGGAGCTTGGCCCAGATGTTGCTCTTAAAGGATAGAACAATCCTGGACAAAGACCAGGCCAAGGCGTATATTCCAGAGAGGTGTTTTTTTTTAAAAAAAGAAAAAAAGACGGAAAAAAGGTGAGTTTCAGGCAGCAGAAGAAATTCCATGGTCTCGAAATTGGAGTGTTCTCTATGTAGGGCAAAGGAGGCTGCTTCCGATTGTGCTCAGGTCAGGGTAAAGGTCAGGAGAGGAGCCTAGAGGGCAGGAAGAGAAGGGCTCTCCTCTCCTAGTGGTCAGGATTTGCTTCCATCCAGTGTTGCCCAGGGTTTAGTGAAAGGGAGTGAAAAGAAGGTCAGGCCAGACCCTTGGCAAGCTGGTTAGGGTCCTGAGGAGCCTGGATCTGTTGTCCAAGCAAGTTTAAACCTGCCACGTGGTGTGCAGTGAGGATTCTCTGGTTAGGCTTCAGTTATCCTTGGTTGAAAATTGCTGTCTTTTTAAAAAATTCTTTTATATATTTTTTCTTGTTCTTGGTCCCTACTGAAAAATTATTCAGTCTTGGCTGAACTAAGCAGGAAAGATTTTTCCACCCAAGCATAACTAGGGTGGTTGGAAGAGCAACTCTAGAGAGCAGGTGGTGATGGCCATGGCCATCCCCTAGCCCTTTTTATAACTTTAATAGCACTATTGTGTTGTCATTATGCCTTGTTCTTTTTTTTAAAAAATTTTTATTGAGTTGATAGGTTACAATCTTGTGAAATTTCAGTTGTACATTATTGTTTGTCAGTCGTGTTGTAGGTGCCCCCCCTTCACCCTTTGTGCCCACCCCCCACCCCATCTTTCCCCTGGTAGCCACTAATCTGTTCTCTTTGTCTACATTTTTAAATTCCTTGCATGAGCGGACTCATACAGAGATTGTCCTTCTCTAACTGGCTTATTTCACTTAACATAATTCCCTCAAGGTCCATCCATGTTGTTGCAAATGGGACCATTTTGTTCTGTTTTATGGTTGAGCAGTATTCCATTGTATATATATACACCACATCTTCCTTATTCAATCATCTGTTGATGGGCACTTAGGTTGCTTCCATGTCTTGGCTATTGTAAATAATGCTTATGCCTTGTTCTTTATCTGATTACATATGTAATTTCTCATGCTCCTCTGAAAGCAACTTAAGGATAGAAACGGAATTTTTATTCCTGATTTTGAAAGTATCTGGCAAGATCCTACTTATATTGTAGGTACCCAATAAATATTTATTAAATTGAAGTCTTTTCCATGTGTCTCACACGTGGATTCCAGTAACTTTTCATTCATTCATTCATTCAATCCCTCAATAAGTATTTAGTTTCCTGAATGCTTACTAGATGCTAAGCATTATATTAGGCACTGGTAAACTAATGGGAATAAAAACAGAGTTTTAGTGCTTGGGATATTGTGATTTATAAGAAATATATATTTGGTCATTCAGTTGACCAAAATATGTTTCTCATATATATGTGGTCTTCGTCCACAGTTCTTGGCTCACAGCTTCTGAAACCTTTGACATTTCTTGTTTACGTTAACAAAGGTGACTTTTGGACCCAACCCAGTGTGGGGGCTGGTTGCCAAGAGAACCAACCATGTGATCAGAGGATTGGAACTTTTGGTCCCACCCCCTGATTTTCAGAGAGAGGAAGGGGGCTTGAGGTTGAATCAATGGCCATTGGCCAATGACTTAGTCAATCATACCTATGTAATAAGCGTCCATAAAAACCCAAGAGGACAGCTTGTTGATCCTTTTTGTCTTGGAGAGCTTCCAGGTTGGTGAACGCATGGAGGTGCTCAGAGAGTGGCGTGCCTGGAGAGGCATGGAAGCTCTGCTCCCCTTCCCTCATACCTTGCCCCACTCATCTCTTCCACCTGGATGTTCATCTGTATTGTTTATCATATCATGTGGCCACTGAGCACTGATTGAAAGTAAGGTTGGTACCCTTTTTCCTGTGGTCACAAGCCAGGCAAAATTGCTTTCCAGGTTAGAACTGACCTTGAAGATATTTTTTGCATGACCCTTCTCAAGATGTCTCCAAAGACGTTCTCCATCTTGTGATGAGTCTTTCTTCCAAAGTAGACAGTGGGTTCCTTTAGGGCAGGAAACGTGTGTTTATTCATTTTTGTATTCCCAGGACTTTTCACAGCATGTTACATAGTAGGTGATGCTAGATATTTGTTTTGTGAATTTGAAATTCATTGTTTTGGATTTGAAATATGTTTCGTGAAATATGTTGTATAGTTCAGTTAGGTGCTGATTTCCCTTCAGAAGCCTTTCATTTATTTTTTATTTTTATTTTACTTTTATTTTTTTTGGTGAGAAAGATTGGCCCTCAGCTAACATCTGTGCCAGTCTTCCTCTGTTTTTTGTATGTGGGATGCTGCCACAGCACGGCTTGATGAGCGGTGTGTAGATCCATGCCCATCTGAACCTGAAAAACCCAGGCTGCAGAAGGAGAGCACAAGCACTTAACCACTACGCCACTAGGCTGGCCCCCTGAAACCTTTGAAATCTGTAGCCTAATGGGATACTGAACATATCTAAGGCCTGAGAAGGAGAGGAACTCTAGGACATGGGAGAAGTTAGCAGAATGGGAAGTAAGTTACTTCTCAGAAATATTTAGCAGTTGAACTGCAACAATTTCAGGAAGGTTCTGGGCCACAGGTTGTAGGTTCTTAGAAAGTCCTATTAGGGAGATTGGGAAGCTCTGGGTTCCCTTTATCACCTACCGTTATACAAAGGCCTTTCGTTTCTCGTACTTTAAACTGCGGTTGAACTAGATGACTCACCACTTTTTCCTGATTCTTTGTCTTTTGTTTCTTTTCTTCATTAGGAATATCCTCCTCCTTTATGCCATTATCATCATCCTTCAATTCCCTGCTGAAATGTTACAGTCTTCCTATGGAACGCTGTGGAAGAAATAGTCTCTCACTACGTCAAACATCTCAACTTTTAGACCCCCTCATGGTACTACATGCTATCTACTAGAATTATAAACGGGTTATCATATATAAATAATTTAGCTCTGCATATTCCATAGCCAGGACCTTGTAAATGTTGAATGAACTATGTGGCTGAACTGTATTACTAACTGAGTGTGATGGTTAATTTTATGTGTCAATTGGCCTGGACCATGGGGTCCTCAGATATTTGGTCAAACATTATTCTGGGTGTTTTTGTGAGGATGTTTTTGGATGAGATTAACATTTAAATCAATAAACTGAGTAAAGCGGATTGCCCTTCCTAATACAGGTGGGCTTCATCGACATGCTTTTTCTTGCCTTCAGACTTGAACTGAAACATTGGCTCCCCTGGGTCTTGAGCCTGCTGTCCTTCAGACGGAAACTACACCATTGGCTCTCCTTGGTCTCTAGCTTTCTGACTCACCCTGCAGATTGGGAATTGTCAGCCTCTATAATCACATGAGCCAATTCCTTGTAAGTCTCTTTCCGTATATCTATCTATCTATCTATCTATCTATCTATCTATCTATCTATCTATCTATCTAGATATTTATCTATCCTATTGGTTTTGTTTCCCTGGAGAACTCTGACCAAATACACTTAGCGTCAGGATTTTAGAAATATTCTAGAGGAAGGAAAAGAGTTTTATCTACCTTTCCTGGAACTCAATTAACATGACGCACACTTTAAAAATGATGCTTAGCTTTGATACCTTTTCATCTGTGCTCTTCTCCCTTTTCCAATACTTCAGGCACATAGGACTTCAATGCTTCCGTTAGCCCTCCACAGTAATACCTGACCTAGGCAACCCTGTTCCTCACTTAAGCCCCCAGTTTTCCTTGCTGTTGAGTCCTCTTTCCAACCGTGCTCCATCAAAGCTCCCAACTCAGTGTGGTAGGTTGGATGCAGGTGGCGGGGAAAAGCAGTCTGACTGTTCGAGTGATTCATTTATGGTTGAAAGTTCTGTAACCTTCTCAGAATCATTTGCCAAATGACTTGGATGAAATATCAAGTAGTTTAATAAAGTGGGGTGAGAATTTTAGGCAGAGTGAGGGTGCTATCTCTGAGTAATTGCCCAATGGGCAGGCAGGATCACCTTCCTGGGGTCAGTCTTAGGGTCAGCACCTCCTATGCACTTACTGCCTTGACGCATTCTTCCCCTTTCCACCTCTGAAACCACAGCTCCTCTAAAAACAACATCAAATAAGCACTCCCGCTGAGGTAGCAATGGAGATTCTACTGCTGATACAAGAAGAGAGAAAGAGGGCAACCATTTGCATGTCTCCATTGAATCTTTGTAAGTTAGCAAATACTTATGGTTTTAAAGGGCCCATTTTAGAAGAATAGAGACTATTTTAAAGATGATGAGAAAATCAGTAGTTTTATGTCATGTGTGGCCATAAATGGAGAAAAGACTGGGTATGAGAGCAGATTTTAATGAGATATTAGAGGCTTCCTGTTTGAGAAGATGTTGGTAAGTCAAGTCTGCAGTGAAGTTGCTCTGGCTTAAAGTACTTAGCACCTAGCATATGATAGGATAGATCTTCCTTCCACGTTTCCTGTGGGAAGGAGGGGCGAATTTAGGGGAAAGATCATGATTATAAAAGAAAACTACAAACTCCCTGCATCTATTTTAATATTTAAATATATTTAGATCTTTTTTATATTTTAAAAATTCTCCTTTGAACCCTATTTCTCATGCTCTGACTTCCACTCTATCACTTTCTTCCTTTTTATAGACAAATTTCTTAAAAGAGTTGTTTTCAGTCACTATCTCGATGTACTTATCTCCCATCTACTCCTCAGCACTGAGGAGTTGATTTTTTCCTCCTGTCATCATACAATCAAAACTTCTGTAACCAAGGTCTCTGATGGTGACATTGTCCCCAAGTATGATAAACCCTTCTCACCTTTGTTTTACCTGATGTCACAGGCACTCCCTACTGTTGACCACTGTTCATTCTGGAACTGTTGCCATGGCCCTCACTCTGTGGCTTCCCACCAGTCTGGCCGTTCCTTTTCAGTTTGGCCACCTCCTCTGATCTGCACATCCCATAAGTGTCAGTGGTCTTAAGAGTTCTGTCCTGTGCCCTCTTCTCTTCCTATGTATATTCACCGGGCCCTTTGTGGCTTCATTTGTAATCACTCTCTCTTGAGTTGTATATATTAACTGTCTATTGGATATCTGCCTTTGAATATGCAACATGTCCCAAACTGAACTTATCTTACCTCCAAACCTGATTCTTTAAAAATATAGATATATTTTTAGTGGCTGGTACCCACAGTGATCTCTGCCAGAAACCTGGCCACGTTCTTGAGTCCTCCCTTTGTCGTTCCATCATCTAGTCAGTCACTGAGGCTTCACAATGCTGCCTCCTAAATATCTCTCTAACCTGTCCACTCCTTTTTCCAACCTTACTCACACTACTGATTCAAGCCACCACCATTTCCTTCTCTAGATCACTGCAATGGTCTTCTCCTTGAATCCCCTCCTTGCCTTCAGTGTAATTCCATGCCCCCTCTAATTCATGGTCCACAGTGCAGCTAGAGTTGTCTTAGAAAACAAAATTCTGATCATATCTTTTTCCATTATTAAAGTCCTTTAATCTTCCTGTATTGCTCCCATGATGCATTTGGTCTCTTCAGCATGGCTCCCAAGTTTTTGTCATGTCACAAATTTAAAACACCTCAGTCTTCTCCAGTTTCACCTGTACCAGTCCTGCCCATCATCCCACCCCAGTTCTTACACTTTATACTACAGTCACACCACACTACTTTAATTCCTTAAATGTCCCTGCTCTCTATAGTGTTGGGGACTTTGTTCTTACTCTGCCTGGAACACCCCTTCATGCCTCTTTATTTTCCTGTCAGTTTTAGTTACCCTTCAGGCCTTGGTTTAAAGCTTACTTTTTCTGTAATCCTACGCTAACACACTAACCCCAGTTTATGATCCTGCGGTACCACACGCTCACACCTTTTGTAGCACTTACCATGCTCTCCTGAGACCACCTGGTGAATGTACTGTAAGCATCTTGTAGGGAGGGACTCCATGTCTCATAGTTGAATTCCTGGGGCCTAGAAAAGTACCTGTCACATAATAGATGCTCAGTAAATATTTGTGCTATCAATGAATGATTTATCATAGCTACTTTGTACACGTTTCTCATTAAACCAATTGAACAAGTGATGGAGGTGGTTGAGAGAGAGCAGAGATGAGATCAAGGCCTTGATGTCAGGTTTTTTAATAAAATCAAAGCAAAATTTCGTGTTTTTGCCGTTTTACAAGCTGGCTATGGGTCTTAATGGGCTTATGGGATACTAAAGCTAAATCTAAACTCCAGCCAGCTGATATAAGCCTTATCTAGGCCTTACGATTCTTTTTTTTTTTTTTTACAACAGCTTTATTGAGCTATAATTCATATACCATACAATTCATCCATTTAAAGTGTATAACTCAGTGGTTTTTAGTATAGTCACAGAATTGTGCAACCATCACCACAATCAATTTTAGAACATTTTCATCACTCCCCTCTTCCCCGGAAACCCCGTACCCATTAGCGACCATTCTTCATTCCCATTCCCCCACCATCTCCTCCCTCCATCCCCTGGAAACCACTAATCTACTTTTGTCTCTATGAATTTGCCTATTCTGGATGTTTCATATAAATGGAATCGTATAATGTATGGTCTTTGTGACTGGCTTCTTTCACTTTGCATAATATTTTCAAGATTCATCCATGTTGCATCATGTATCAGTGCTTTATTTCTTTTCATTGCCAAATAATATTCCACCATAGACCCCAGTTTTTTTATCCCTTCATCAGTTGATGGACGTTTGGGTTGTTTCCACTTTTTGGCTGTTACGAATAATGTTGCTTATAAACATTTGTGTACAAGTTCTTGGGTACCCATTTCTCTTGGGTATATACCTGGGAGTGGAATTGCTGAGTTATATGGAAACCTTAGGATTCTTAAGAAGAGAGGTTGCTTTAGAGAATAAGCTCACAAACACATAAACACTAATAGCTCTTGCTCTTTAATTTGTTAATTTAGCAATAGGCAAGTTGTACAGCTGGTTCTTTGAAGAACTGACAATCAAATTTCTTTGTCTAGTGTAAAGTAGCCAGTGAATGTGCAAAGTTTAATTCTCCTGTGTAGGATAATAAAGCGTTTCTTGGGTTTAAATGGAAGTGGGAGAATTTAGTGTCTGTTTCTGCCCATTTCCACTCCTGTTCCACCCCACTGCTGGACCACACAGGGCTGTGTGACAGAGGTATCCAGGAAAGCTTCGAGTGGGGGAGTGGGTCTATTAGCTGAGTTGAGCTACAATTAACTCACTGCTTCCATCTCTGTCTTTATGACAGGCATTTATTGTTCCTTTTGTATTACTGTTCTCATTGGCTCTTCTTTCCTCTTCTCCACACATCTCTGCCACCATATATACTCTTGGTTTTTTCCTGTTCTTCCCTTGCTGCTCAAACTCCTCGTCATGTCAGACTCTTCCTAGGTCCTATGTGAGTTAAGACAATAAAGTTACGAGATTCACGTGAGTTATAGGATTCCTTTTACAAGTATATCATATCCAGGTAAACATGGACACCTAAAAAGTAGTTGTCCTGAGTGACTCTATGTTTTTTCCAAAAGTTCTCTCATTCCTCAAAATATTTTGGCCACTTATCATATAGAGTTGCTCTCGAAACCAGTCTAAGCCCTATGAGAAGATCAGTTTCACTTCCTTGTAATCACAATTAGGGAGCCTACAACTCTACTTTGTTTATTTGTCTTCCTGTTCCCAGTTCCTCTTTTCCATTTTTGCTGTAGTCTCCAGGCAAGAAGAGTTCTGGGTTCAGGTGGGGCTCCACATATGTGGTGAGGCTGGTGGTCATAGAGAGTCCAGCAATGATGTGAGATTGGTGTGCTCCACAGGACTTTGACTTTAAACAAACCATGCTGAAGCTGCTCTTTTTACTGTGTTCTCTCCAGTGTCCCATTTCTGCCTTGTGATCTCCTCCCTAACCTTTTTTGCAGAAAAGAACCGTCAAATCCTAGGGCTGGGGACATAGTCTTGAATTGTCCACTTGTCAGAGGAAACTTGGGGAGAATGGGTAGGGAGAGGTACTTCAGGGGCTCCATTTCCTTCTGTTACTGGGGAGTTAGTTAATGTTTTACCAGCAGTTCTCCCTCTTGGGGAGACGTGAATCATGTTCCAGCCCCACATTGCTGCTCAGGGCAGAGGGCATTTTTTACAGAGAGTTGTGATTTGAGAGAGACCTGTATCTGACCTTCCTACTTTATCTTTAGAGTCTAGCCATCTGTGGCTTCGTATCTTCTCAGTTCTCAGGCTCTGGATCTTCATATTCTCTTCCTCTCTTCCTCTCTGCTCTGGCGGAAAATGAGGATGTTTACTAGTTGAGGGGGAATGAAACCTTGAAGTTTCAAAAGCAAAAACAACATAAAGCTGGGCTCCCTCCCCATCATGCCTCCCTCTCCTCCCTAGCAGTTTCTGCACCACCCCCCCAAAACCCCAGCGAGATGCTAGCTGATTGTACAAATATGTCTACAGGATTCCTCAAAGATGCGGCTAGGTGTGAAGGCTTTATGTTCTGGCTACCATCTTACCTGCTTTTCTCTTTTCCAGAGGATTCTACTTCTCACAAATAGGTATGAGGCCAATGTTCTAGAAATTCAGTCTCCCTTCACCCTTTGTTAATCTCAGAATAAGTGATGCAGAGGTTGTTTAGATAATATAGCTGTGGGGAGAGAGAATGGAGGCACTGGAACACCTGCCAGGGACGGGGCCAGAGAGCACCGTTAGTGAATGTACATCTCTGGAGCAGAGTAAGAGAGGAGGTGGAAACAAGGAAGGAAGCTAACAGAAGCCAAAGAATTGTAGGAGTTGAGGGTATAATCCATAGGGGAATCGTGATGGACTAGACAGAGGATTCTGGTGGTCCCTCCCCTGCTGCCTGAAAGAAGAGTTGCCTGATCAGTGTCTATTATGAGCAAGGCCTTAGGCTAGGTTCTGGGGATACAGAGATAAGTAAGACACTGTCCCTGCTTTACAAGTGTTGCAGTCTGACAAAGACAAGTTCAGTGACTAATAGGAATCAGATGAGATTTTCAATATGTGTGGTATTGTGGGCTGGGATACTGCCGCCACTACTAACAGATAACGTTTATTGCTCACCCACTGTCTTATAGGCATTTTATACCCAGATTAACTCGTTGACTCTTGACAACACCCCTCAAGTATATATTGTTATTGGCACCTCAAAAAGTAGTTGTCCTGGGTGGCTCTATGTTTTTTCCAAAAGTTCTCTCATTCCTCGAAATACTGTGGTCAATTATCATATAGAGTTGCTCTCAAGTATGTATTGTTATAATCTGCGTTTTCTAGGTAAAGAATCTGAGGCCCAGAGACATTACAAATAGCTTGCCTGAAGTCTCACAGTGGGGATTCAGGAGCAGGAACTCCAGCACAGGTGGTCTGGCTCTGGAACACATGCTCTTGGGTAACATGGCCTCTCATAAGTCATCCGGAGAGTGTGTGGAAGCTCTGCTGCTGCCCATCTGTGTGACTTTATACCACTGGGCTGCCCTTGTGCCTGGGACACTCTTCCTTAAAGACTCTGGTCAAGGGAGGACGCTCCTGTGACATCTTCTGACTCCTTCTGCATACCCCCTGGGCAATCACTTTATGTTTTTTTTTTTTTTTAACTGTGTAGTGTTTATTTGTTGGAATATCTGACTCCTTGTCTTAGAAGCTTCTGGAGAGCAAGGACTTTTTTTCCTGGAAAATTTCAAACATGTGCAAAAGTTAAGCTAATCATATAATGAATCTACGTGTACTCATCTCATAGCTTCAGCAATTACTTCATGGCCAATCTTGTTTCAGCTATACCCTCATCTCCAAACCTGGAGTATCTTGAAGCAAATCCCAGACATCAAATCATTTTGTCGATAAATATTTCAGTTGTATTACTAAAATGTCGGGACTCTTTAAAGAACATAGCCACAACACCATTATCACACTAAAATTAATACTTCCTCACTACCATGAAATATTCAGTGTTCAAATTTCTGCAATTATCTCATACTTTTTCTCCTTCCCTTCCCATTTTTCTTTATTCTTTTATTTCTTTCTTTGTTGTCTCCCACCCCCCTTTTTTTTGCAGTAGAGTTTTTCAAATAAAGATCCAAATAAGGGCTTTACTTTTTAATCTGCATTTTCTCCTCAGCACCTGGCTTAGTGCTTGACATATAGTGAATTCTTACTAATGTGTGTTGAATGAATGAATCTTCAGGAATCTATAAAATCTCCTGGTTGGATTGTGTGGCCTGTCATTTGTGGTTGGTTTCTTGGGATGGCTTTGGGTTTCTGACAGCTTTAGTTAGGGATTAACAGGGATGCTGGCTACCATCAGTGCCTGTGAACATTGCTAAAGGTTGGTGGGCAATGAGTGTATCTGTGACTCAGACACTCACAGGCTAGAAGGACGTAGGCCCTTACTTTCTTGTCTCTCTTTTTTGTCGTTAGTCTCTTGTCATCTCACTTTGAGTTTGGACTGACCATGTCTGGCTTTTTTGCTGTTTCTTCAGAACAGGGACCCTGAAGGAGCTCCTTGAGAGCATGAACAGCTTCATATGGCGCTGTGGTAGGCAGAGTTCTGAGATGCTACCCCAAGATTTACCTCTAATCCCAGACTGTGAATATTATGGGATATCATGCCTGCGATTATGTTACGTTGTGTGGTAAAAGGGATTTTGCAGATGTAACTAGGGTTACTAAGCAGTTGACTTTGAGTTTAACAAAAAGAGAGATTATCTGAGTGGGATTAATCTAATCACATAGGCCATTTAAAAGCAGGCAGTTTTTTCTAGTTCATCTCAGAAAGGAAATCAGAGAGACTAGAAGTATGAGAGGGATTCAATTTAGGGGATGCTCTCCATTGCTGAGATGGAGGGGGCCTTGTGGCTAGGACCTGAGAACGTCCTCTAGTAGCTGAGAGCGGTACCTAGCAGAGCAATGGGGACCTCAGTCTAATAACTTCAAGGAACTGAATTCTCTGAGCTAAGAGATGGGTGTCGTTTTAATCCAATAAATTTGTGCTAATTTGTTTTACAAAAATAGAAAATACAGGTGCTTTGTACCTGATGGATTGAATTAGCTGCTCCTTTGTTTATTTTATTTTTGAAAATTCAGAGAAAATTAAAATACATTGAACTGCCTGCAGATCTTAAGTCCACAATTTGGCTTTTGGTAAATGTGTCCACCCACGTAATCACCACCTGCATTGAGATAGAGAACATTTCCATCAGCCCAAAAAGCTGCCTTGTGCACGTTTGCTGTTACTTCCACCTGCTGTGGTGAATTCTAACACCATTAATTACTATTGCCTATTCTTGAGCTTCATGTAAATGGCATCGTATTGTACGTGCTCCTTTGTGTCTGGCTTCTTTTGCACAGCATACTGTTTTAGAGAGTAATCCATCTTGTTTTAGCAGTAATTTGTGCCCTTTTTATTGCTAATTAGTATTGCACTGTATAGATATGCCACCATGTGTTTATCCATTCATATCTTGGGGGATATTTGGGTTGTTTCCCAAATAAACAATATAATAAAAATGTTGTCTGTGGTCTTTGATGTTGTTAAAGTGAACAATGTGAGGATGGTGAAAATACTTTCGAATCTGGCCAACAGATGGATACTGATTTTATTCCGCTTCCAGCGGTCTTGGGTCTGGAGGCACTAATGAAGAGGCCCCAGAGAAATGAGGTGATGAGGAAGGGGAAAGACAGCACACGTTTCAATTGCTGGGAAGTGAAGGAAATGAGATAATAAGTTAATGTTTTTGGCTACTATGAATAATGCTGCTATGAATGTTCGTGTATCACTCTTGGTGTGGATATCTATTTTCATTTCTCTTGGGTAAATACCTAGAAGTGGGATTGCTGAACTGTATAAGCATATTTAACTTTATATGAAAACGCCAAACTCTTTTCCAGAGTGGTTGTGCCATTTTATATTTCCACCATCAAAGTGTAAGAATATCAGTTGTTTCCCATCTCACATCCATCTCATGGGATGTCCTCCCAACTCCCCAGTTTTTCAATCTCCCTGTTTCAGGTCAGTATTTCCTAACATAAAATAAATGTGAGAATCACCTGGAAGTTCTTCAAAATTTACAAGCCCAAGTCTCACTCTAGACATACTGTATTGGCTTCTTCAGGGATGGTTTATAGGTTTATTAAGTATGTTGAAAAAGTTCTCTAGGTAATTCTGATTCATACTCCTAGCTAAAAACCACTGCTTGTAGGCTCAAGTCTTATCTATTATAGCAGAGGTTCTCCATCCTGGATACATGTTAAAAGTATCTGGGAAGCTTTAAAAAATTGCCATTGCCAGGGTTCCACCTCACACCAGTTAAATCAGGATCTGTGTGGGTGAGGCCTGAGTATTAGTTGTTTTTAAAATTTTCCCACTCATTCTAACATGTAGCCATATTTCCCATTGGATTTCTCTCTTCTCTTGTGGCATTTATCCCTTTCTATCTTTGCATTATGATAACTTTTCATGCCTTATTTGCTGTCTTAGGCTTTATGTCCCCTGAGGTAGGGACACTGCCTTTCTCATTTCTGTATCATTCATGGAGTCTAACACTGAGACTTGAGGCACAGCAGGTGCTCAATAGGATTTCATGAACAAAGGAACTGGTCATCAGGAAAAGATTCTCAGTCACAGCTAGGTTGTGTTCTGTGTCTCAGGTTCACATGTTAATGCTACAGAGTCCTCATCCTCCCCCGGGTCGGAGTTGTTGCTTGTGATCACCAGTGTGGGTAACTCCTCTGTGAGAGAACAGGGAGAACATTGCCCTGTTTGGTGTTTGTTTTCAGGCATATCACTGGGACTAGGAATTACACGTGTATATGGGGTGGAGAGGCAGGGATGGGTAAGGAGACAGATCTAATTACAATGGAGGAATTATACTAGAGAGCAGTGGTAAAGAAAGTAAGAAACGTTAGTAAAGAGGAAGAAATGTGAACTTCTCTGGTTGGCCAGGGTAGGCCACTATAGATTCTGAATAGGAGAGTGAACCAGTTTTTAGGAAGGTAATGAGACAGCAGTATGCAAGGCAGATTTCAGGAGAGAGACAGAGACAAGAAGTCAAGCTGTACTTCCAGCAGCAGAGTTGTTGAGAGCCTGGGTTATTAAGGTTTACGGGAATGGAGAGAACAACACGACTGAGAGACATTGAAAAAGAATCAACAGGCTTTAATGATGTATTGAATTGGGGAAACCAAAGAGCAAGGGCTGCAGAAACAGTGGTGTTACTGCGAGAAATGAGCGTGCTGTGGGGCAAAGCTGGTTTAAATGAATATTTTCAGAAGGTAATCGGATATGTGTGTGATGAGTTCTGGGAAGCAGCAGGGGCTAAAGATAGAGATGTAGGAGGCATCTGCAGAGAGGTCCTTGAACTGTGAAAAGAGGGTGGTGAAGGGAGACAAGCAGGGTCTGAGAACTAAATCTGGTGTCGGGGTGCAGTGTATCAGTGGGGATGGGAGGAGGAGAGCGTCCAAGAAGGAAAATGTTGTCTGTGGTCTTTGATGTTGTTAAAGTGAACAATGTGAGGATGGTGAAAATACTTTCGAATCTGGCCAACAGATGGACACTGATTTTATGCCGCTTCCAGCAGTCTTGGGTCTGGAGGCACTAATGAAGAGGCCCCAGAGAAATGAGGTGATGAGGAAGGGGAAAGACAGCACACGTTTCAATTGCTGGGAAGTGAAGGAAATGAGATAATAAGTTAATACTCTGTGGAATAAATAAATGAAGGTTATTCAGGGCAGAAGAGAGCTGACCCTGTGAGAAGGGCAGAACAAAGGAACTGGGGACAAGGAAGATAGAAGGTGCTGGAGAGATTTTTATGTGGCTGAACCTGTGGAGGCTCTTGTGAGGGAAAGCTGTGTTGCTGCATCTGATTCACTGGAGCCCACTGTGCGGGAGGGGTTATTTGTCCCTAAGAAAGAGGCTGAGAGATCTTTACTCATGAAATCATCTTCTTTCTGGGAGGAAGACAGGCAGTTTCTTCCAGGCAGGTTGGGCCTGTGGCCTGTTGGTTCTAGACAGACCCACTTTGTTAGCAGACGTGCAGATGAATTTAGCTAATTCTCTGATCAGTAGATCAAATATCTGTAGACTTAGAAGTAGGCTTACTCTGATGCCCAGTTAAGCAGTTCCTCTTTCTTCTGCCTGTAAAGAAGACATTGTATAAGTAGTATCAACTGTGAGGCAGCATGTTGATGTCTGATATATAATTTTTATTATAAATATAAAGCACAATTTACAAATAATTCAGAAGTGGCCATAGCCAGGTAAAATTAAACAGCACAGAGTAGCATGGATAAGCGGAAGTCCATACAGTGTGTGTCAGGGTTAGAAAACCCTGAAAGAGGTACTGAGCACAGAGAACTCCCAACTATCCCTCTTTGAGGGTGCCTCTTAGACACAGCATGAGATAAAGTAATAAATATTGAATAAAACCTTTCTCTCAACAGCCCCAAAGAGGTTCCATCTGTGCAGAAGAAGGCTGGGTGGGAAGTGCATTTGCTTCTCCTTGTCCTGCCCTTCTTTTTGTCCTAAGACACATTGAGACTCATAGACCCCGTGAGAGAAAACAAATCTCAGAGGCTGTTCGAGAAGCCTAGGGCCCAGTGATAATATTCCTGTGCGTCCTAAGGAGCATCAGCACCAGTGCAGCTTTCTAGGTTGTAAGCAATGCCAATGGCATGAGTCACAGCATTCCCTTCAAGGCGCTCCCACTTCTCGAGGACCAAATGCACCTTAGCAGGGGCCAAGGTTTCCTGAGAAAGGGAGTGAGGCAGACAGACATGCACAGACAGATACATGGGGTAGAATGGAGGCTGGCGATTGGCCTGAGATGCCTGGAAACTGAGTTAGATCCATTTCTAGCCATGAATGAGGAAAACAGCTTCTTCTTTTCTGTTTGGAGCCCCTGACATAAAAGCCTTGAGGAGCTCCTGGCCAAGGGGACTTGAGGGGTTTTGGTGGCTTCTTTCACTTAAAGTAGTTGGATTGGCTTACACAGCTAAGCTAAGTAACAATAACCCCTCTCACGGGGAAGGGGTGTGGGGGGTGGGCATAAGGGGTAAAGGGGCGCATGTATATGGTGACTGACAAATAATAATGTACAAGTGAAATTTCACAATGTTATAAACTATTATGACCTCAATAAAAAACAATCACCCCTCTCACATAAATAAGCAGTTACAAAAATTGAAATGGCAGAATGTCTCAGAGAAAAGGAAAAAAAATCCAATACCCCAAATTGTGCATTCTTTAACAATCACTTAAATAGTCTCTGAAGGGTAGCTCTCTCATTCCCTTCCCAAATTCCCAGCAGATTGTCTCTGTTAACAGCTGATTGCTCCCTAAAGCTGTAACTCCTCCTTCTGTGGACATTTACTTGAATAAAGCCTGTAAAGTTATCGAAAACCTGTGTGCATTTTTCTTTTGCATTTTCCATTAGGAATCACCTACAGACTTTAGCAAATAGTTTTCCTCGTTGCTTCTAGTGGGTTCTCTGAAGACAGGCTTGCCAAAGGGCTTAGGTGGTATTCCAGCCAAGCAGCAAGGTGCTTAGGCCCTGGTACTACAGGTAGACAACACTGACAGTGGACAAAGGTCTAGAATCTCCCAGTTCAGAATTGGTTATATATTTCTTTTCCTGTGTCTGGTGGCTTCCCCCTGGGCTTTGGAGAGATGGGAGAAACTTTTACTTTTAGTTTTTCTCTGTTCTTTTTTGGCACATGCGTTTCAGTGGATAAGAACATATCTCTCAAGGTTATGGCAAATTCAACTTAGGACTGGGGTGGGAAGGTGAGTCTGCTCTGAATAGGTAAATATAAAACAAGTCTAGATCAGGAGAGGAGGAGGGGTGGGAGGTTCTGGCAACTCTCTCCCAAGGTCTTCTTTGCCAAATTTCAAAGAGTAGGAAGGTTGGGTTTCCTACAGATTCCCGGATGCACCTTTTCATTTATTGACACTGAAGGGAGGGGCTGTGACCAGGCAGCCTGGAGGTGCCTCATTTGGAAGTTAAGGGGAGGGGAAGTCTTCTTCCCCTTTTCTCTGAGGGTAAAGGGATCCTTCCAGTAACGGGGATGAGAAGCTTGGAGTAAGTCAGCAGTGCAGTGAACAGGGCAGGATATGTTACTTCTTTTTTACTTCTGAATAAACTGTTTCTGTGGCTGGTGGGGGTGGGGAGGCTGAAGTTGGCTTCTCGGATTCCTGGACATTGAAGTTCAGGGAAGAATATGTAACTTCATCCATCTGAAAGGCATGAGCAGTGGTCAGTTAAATCAGTGTCATAGGTCAGGCCCTCACCGGTCTAGTGTGATTCAGTACCACCTGCTATCACCACTTTGAAACTTTTAGCTTTGGAGAAGGGCTTTTATCACCTATTATTTCTGCTTGCTAACATCCTCTGAATGATCATTGGAAGAGAGAGGTTATGGTATTGTACAAAGGAATATGATGATACAGCAACGATAGTGAACACACTACGAATGCATACAACAATATGGATGAATCTCACAAAACAAGTTTGAGTGAAAGAAGCCAGTTATGGATAAGGATATGCTGTGTCTTTCATTTATGTCAGAGCATAAACAGGCAAAACTAATCTAGTGCATTGGAAGGCCGGATAGTGGTTACTCTTTGGAGGGAAGTAACTGGAGGGATTTTTGTGGGGAGGATGACATGTTTTGTTTCTTGATTTTGGTGCTGCTTACATGGGTATGTTCAACTTGTGAAAATTCATACATCGTTAAAATATACTTATGATTTAAGCACTTTTCAGTGTATATGTGTACACTATTGAAAGGTTAAGATGAGAAAACTATGGTAAAATTATTAAAGGAACTAAGACGTCAGACCCATTGGAATGGAAATTATCCTTTGACAGTAAGAACAGAGTCAGACTGAAGGTAGAATGATTGAGGCCTTCCTTGTGTTGGGCATGGTGCTGGGTGCTTTGCATTTGTATCTCAGTGAATTCCTTCACCTCCTCTTTGAAGTAAGCAGCACGCCCATTCTGAGATGACAAAGCCGAGAATCAGAAAGGTTAAGCTACTTGTCCAATGTCACAGAGCTACTAAGAGTCTCAGCCAGGATTCAAACACAACATGGGGATAATTTGAAAGTCCACATGAGTGTAACGAGGTAGACTCATGGGAGTCCTTACCAACACTGCTTTGTTTGCGGCTGCATCGAGGAACTTCGACCCAAACCTGGTCTCACATTAGTGTCTTCAAGAATAACCCATTCTATACAGAGGTATTTCCATGAGAAAATGAGCCAGTGAAACTGGCTGTGCTTACCTTGTTAGGAGAATTGTCAGAGTGGCCCTGACCTGGGGAAGCAAAAGAAGAGTTACCTATGGAAATACAAAGCTGACTTATGGCCTTAGAATGAGGCTGTACCTAAGATGTTGTGATTTCTAGTTGAAGGAGGTGGCAGGTGTTGGGAGGATGGAGTGGGGAGATGGCCCATGATTTCTTAAGGAATTGTCCTTCCTCAGAATGTGTGGTCCAGACCCAGGGCATTAGTACCAGAGGAGGGGCAGAAGTAGAGCCACAGGAGGCCTCAGTCCACTTCTGAAGATTTTTTCCTGGTCACAACACCTTGATTTTTTCCTTGATGTGTCTCTTAGCAAGAGGTTTCAGTGGCAAGGAGGGGCATTGCGACCCACAGCACCCAGAGCACCACAAGACAGGGAAAGTCTCACCAAAGGAGATGCCCACATCCATAAAGAGGCAGGAGGGGGAAGGAGGAAGGATGAGGAAATGGCTCCTGGAAACAAGTCCATCTTACTCAGGCCTGCCTGGCCTAGGCAGAGTGGGCATCTCTCCTGGGGCTGCGTCCCAGGGGAATCTGCTGTGGCTAGGAAGGGTGTGAGGACTTAGGCCAACTTAAGGTTGGGAAGTGGAGATCCCCTCTAAAAATTCAGAAGGTAGGGAGTGGTGTGGGAATCCAGGATTCCCTGCTAGGACAAGGCACATGGTGGAACACACCAGCTCTCACTGGGTGAGTGGCTTTACTTACTGTGGTTGGAGGCTGAGGGTTTGTGCTCTGTGAGATCATGCTGGACACTTGCCCTAAATAAATATCAGACACTGTGACTGCTATTCCCAAGCATAGGATCTTTGCTCCTTAAATGAGAAGGACACTGTCAGCAGATAATTCCTCAGGCTCCTCAATGTTCATTTATTCCATGGCAGGTACTGCCTTTCCTCTCAGGGCCTCCTTCCTCAGTCTACCCTTGATTCCTTCCAGTGTTTACTCCTTCCCTGTTTGCTGGATGTGCACATTTAGGTCCATTCTTCATCAACTGCTTCTGAGCCTACTTCTACCCTGACACTGTTCCCCTTTTGTAAGTAGATGCTGTTTTTTTTTTTTTTCCTCACTTTCTTTATTGCCCAAGACGCCTTTGGTTGTTTCTGCTTTTTCTTAGGTTCTCTTCCTGTCTTATCCCTCCCTCCTCCTGCTGCTATGGTCGAGAGAGCACAAGACTCGCTTTCTCCTGTACCTCGTATCATTTCCTCGTTTGTTTTCCTTCTTGCACCTTGGCTTCCCTGACTGGGAGACATAGGAACATAATTGGATCTGCCCCCTCTTAACCAGATGGGGATGGGAATAACCATGCCCAACAGACAGTGGGGTAGAGGAAGAATGAAGACCAGGGAGGAAGAGACCCACAGGAATTAGTGCTGAGAAGCAGAGGTTTAGGAGGGAGGAGGAACAGATGCAGGCCCAGAGACAGTGTTGAAGTCTCCTTCCCTCTCCCAAGCATGGCGGTTAGCCTTGGAGAAAGCAGAACATGAGGAAAGGCCGTCATACCCTCCAGTCTTTCTGATGTACAGAAAGTACACCAGGGCTGCTATCAGAGCGACCCCGGCCAGCACTCCAATCACGATGCCACCAATAGCCCCAGCTGAGAGTCCAGAACTTCCTAGTGTTGGATCATCTGTCATGGAAAGAAAAGAGAAGAATGAGTGAAAGTGACATTATATTACAGTGGAGTTACCCTGGGAAATAACTCTCAACATGGAGTCGTCTCTACTTGTTCCTTCAAGGGATAAATTTTCTGTGGGAAGGTTGCTGTGAGGTGATTAGCTGACTATGTCCTTGCAAATCTTTTCTCTTACTGTATTTCTAAGTTGGTGGTCAGACTTGCCTCAATTTTACCCTGGTCTTTCTGGACTCAGATATTTTTGAAGGCTCTGGAAATGTGAGAAAGGCTGATGGCTCTTTTTGTATGTTATAACTTCCCATGTTTTCATGGTTGCATCTTTCTCTGTGTACCAGGTGTGGCAGCCATGAGTATGTGCCTCTCAGGTCTCTTGTGGTGGGGACTTAACTCACAGATGGTCTGGGCTAGTGCACTCTGAATTCACCATCTCTGTTCACCATCACCATTCAATGCACAGTGACCACCCTTCCCACAGGCTCCCGGCCAGGATATGAAAGCAATCCCAATTCTGTGAGAAACGATTTTCCTCTGATGGGTGACTTTAGCTCAAGGACTCCCTGTCAGCCTTGTAGACACTCTCTTGGAGCTGCACTGCAAGCTAAAGCTTCCTTCCTTCTCTTTCTCCTTCACAGGGATCAGATCTGCACCGTGGTCTGAGGAATCTCCCATGCTCTTCCCACTCCCATCCTACTTTCCCTCACAGGCATTTTTCCCAATAAATATCTTGTATGTCTAATCTCATCTCGGCTGCATCTCAGGGGATAAAAACTAACATACTAGGCTGAAACTTTGCATTCAACTCCTTTTTTTCCTTTCCAGTATTGATTCAGTAACCATGTCTTAATGTTTTTTTCTGTAATGCCCTCCTGTATATAATGGCTTTTATATCTGTGTCTTCTTTTTTATTTCTCTTGCCTTCACCAGTCAATTCAATGCTGATGATTAATATTAACGTTAGCTACTATAATGGGGTAGTTACTCTGTGCCAGGCTCTGTGCTATATACTTTACATCTCATTTGATTCATATAATAACCCTGTCAGATAGACATTATTTCCCTTTTATAGATGAAAAACCTGAGGCTTACAATGGTGAACAATTTACCCACCATCATATGGCCAGTAAAAGGTGGATCTGGGATTTGACCCTAGGGCTTTCTGATTTCATAGGGTCTAATGATAATAGTAGTAATAAGAGTAGCTAACACTTATGGAACATTTTCTCTGTGTGTGGCATTTTCTGAAGGGTTTAATTGATTATTACATTAAATCTTTAAAATAATAACATTAAGCAAATACTCTTATTGCAATTTTCACTTGAGGAATATGAGGCTTAGAGAACTTAGGAATCTTGTGCAAGAAATTGGTAATTGTAAATGCCTAGATTAAAAAAGCAGAAAGATCTAAAATCAACAACATAATTTTACGTATAAGGAACTAAAAAAAGGACAAACTAAACTCAAAGCTAGCATAAGGAAGGAAATAACAAAGATTATAGTGGAGATAAATAAAGTAGAGAATGGGAAAATAATAAAGAAAAAATCAATAAAACAAAGTTGGTTCTTCAAAAATGATTAACAAAATTGACAAATCTTTAACTAGATTGACTAAGAAAAAAGAGAGAAGATTCAAATTACTAAAATAAAATTCAAATTACTAAAAGAAATGAAAGTGGGGAAATTACTATCAATTCTACAGAAGTAATACGAATTTTAAGAGTACTGTGAATAATATGCCAACAAATTGGATAATCTAGATGAAATGGACAACTTCCTAGAGGAAACAAAACTTACCAAGATAGAATCACGTAGAAATAGAAAATATGTATAGACCTATAACTAGTAAAGAGATTGAATTAGTAAAAGCATTCAACAAAATTCAACATCCTTTCATGATAAAAATACTCAAAGTAGGGATAGAAGGAAACCATCTCAACATTACACAGGCCATATATGAAAAACCCACAGCTAACATCATACTTAATGGTAAAAGACTGAAAGTTTTTTCTCTAAGATCAGGAGCAAGACAAGGATGCCTGCTTTTGCCACTTCTATTCAAAATAGTACTGGAAGTTCTAGCCAGAGAAGTTAGGCAAGAAAAAGAAATAAAAGGCATCCAAATTGAAAGAAGTAGTAAGATGATCTTTGTTTACAAATGACAAGCACTTACATGTAAAACACTGAAGATCCCACAAAAAACTGTTAGAACTGATAAATAAATTCATGCAAAGTTGCAGGATACTACATCATCATGCAAAAACTAGTTGTGTTTCTATACACTAACAATAAACAACCTGAAAAGGAAATTAAGAAAACATTCCATTTACAACAGCATCAAAAAATATTTAGGAATCAATTTAATCACAGAGTTGAAAGACTTGTAAACTGGAAAACCATAAAACATTGCTGAAAGAAAAAAAAAACATAAATAAATGGAAAGGCAAACCGTGTACATGGAGTAGAAGACTAAATATTCTAAGATGCTGATACCACCCAAAGTGATCTACAGATTCAGTGCAATCCCAATCAAAGTCCCAAAGATATTTTTTTGCAGAAATAGAAAAATCCATCCTAAAATTCATGGGGAATTTCAAGGGACCCCAAATATCCAAAACAATCTCAAAAAAGAACAAAGTTGGAGGACTCACACTTCATGATTTCAAAGTTTACTACAAAGCTATGGTAATCAAAACAGTGTGGTACTAGCATAAAGAAAGACATATAGATCAATGGAATAGAATGGAGAGCCCAGGAAAAAACTCTTGCATATATTGTCTAGTGATTTTTGAGAAGGGTGCCAAGACCATTCAATGGGGAAGGGTTTTTTCAACAAATGGTTTTGGGAAAAGTAGATATCCATGCGAAAGAATGAAGTTGAACCCTTACTTAACACCACATGCAAAAAATTAGCAGAAAATGGATCAAAGACCTAAATGTGAAAGCTAAAACTATAAAAACTCTTAGAAGAAAACGTAGAGTGAAAGCTTCATGAATTTGGATTTGGCAATGATTTCTTAGATATGAAAGCAAAGGCAAAGGCAACAAAAGAAAAAATAGATAAATTTGACTTCGCCAAAATTAAAAACTTTTGTGCATCAAAGAACACTTACAACAAAGTGAAAAGACAACTCACAGAGTGGGAGAAATATTTGCAAATCATATATCTGATAAGGGATTAACATCCAGAATATATAGAGAACTTCAACTCAACAACAACCAAAAACCCAATAGAAAAATGGACAAAGGACTTAAATAGACATTTCCTAAAAGAAGACATATAAATGACCAAGAGGCACAGGAAAAGATGCTCAGCATCACTAATCATTAGGGAAATGCAAATCAAAACCACAATGAGATACCACCTCATACCCAGTAGGTTGGCTATTATATATATATAAAAAAAGACAGAAAACAAGTCTTGGCAAGGATGTGCAGAAACGGAAATTTCTGTGCATTGCTGGTGGGATGTAAAATGGTGCAGCCACTGTGCAAAATAGTATGGCAGTTCATCAAAAAATTGAACATAGAATTGCCTCTTAATCCAGCAATTCCACTTCTGGGTATTTTCCCCTAAGAAGTGAAAGCAGGGATTTGAACAGTATGTGTACACCTATGTTCATAGCAGCATTATTCACAATGACCAATAGGGGGGAACAATCCAGAATTTTACAGATGGATGAATGATAAGCAAAATGTGACAAACACATACAAGGGAATATTGTTCAGCCTTTAAAAGGAATGAAATTCTGATGTACACTACAACATGGATGGAGCCTTGAAGACATTTATGCTAAGTGAAATAAGCAAGACACAAAAAGGACAAATATCATGTGATTCCACTTATATGAGGAACCTAGAATAATCAAATTCATAGACTCAGAAAGTAGAATGGTGGTTATGAGCGGCTGAAGTAGGGAGTAGGGAGTTATTGTTTATTGGGAACAGAGTTTTAGTAAGATAAGAGGACAAGTTTTGGAAATGGATAGTGCTGATGGCTGCACAACAATATGAATGTACTAAAGCAATGGAACTGTACACTTAAAAATGGTTAAAATGGTAAATCTTATGTATATTTTATCACATTAAAAAATGGTAACAGAAGAAACCCAGAATCTTGTGTAAGATCACACTGTACATGCCAGACTCATGATAAGAAACTTAGTATATCTGATTCAGAGACTGAGCTCTTAACCACTTTGCCATTCCATTTACTATAATGGTCTCTTGGTTTATATTCTAGCCCCTGTGACTTTGGTCCACTTTGCACCACATTGATAGAGTCATCCATCAACCCAGAAAAATGCGGGATGGGGCAATTGGTCACTTACATTTCACATCCAGTCTGAGGAGGTCGCTTTTGCTGGCACTGACCAGGTTGGAGACCTCACACTGATAATCCCCCGCATCCTCCCTCCTGATGGGGTCTATGGTGAGGGTGCTGTTGTCCTGGGACAGCTTCATCCTCTCTGTGAGCTGTAGACTCTGGTTATTAAAGAACCACTGGATGGAGATCCCAGTGTCATTTGTGAGGCAGGTCAGGACCACAGGGTCCTGATGTTCTGTGACTGTGGTGTTGCTGGCTTGGATGGAGGGTTGTGCCACGGGCTCTGTGGAGAAACAGAGGAGGTGACTGACTGAGAGTGGGCCTGGGACCTCGCTCCTTCCTCAGAGATTTCAGCCAGTTCTCAGATCCCACAGTGAGTTCTGTAAAGGTGACTGTGACCGCTGCAGAAGAACAACTGTCTTTGTTCATGTGACGATCTGTATGGAGAGGGCTGCATCTCCTCCTTTAATCCAAGGTCACCTTAGGATAACCCCTGACCAGTTCTCCTGGACATCTCCCTAGCATCAGCACCAGGAACCTCTTCTCAGCCCACGTGTCCAGCATCCTCATCATCAGCTGGAATTTTTTCCCCATTGGATTTTGTGTGACCATTTGCTAGAGCTTTCTGTGACTATGAATGATCAGGCCCCCTCTCTAGTACGTAGCTTTACGTAGAGAAGGGAAAGCATTTCCTTTTTGTTAATAGTTTATTAGAGAATGAGTATGGCCCAGCCAGTCTTCATGACCTTAGGACCTGGAAAAGTTCCAATATAAAGGATTTCTCAATCTGCATACGACTTTTACTTCCTGGCCTGTAGTCTCAATATCACAGAGAAGAGAATCTCTAGAGACAAGTGGTCACAGTTTTAATAAAAGGCTGGTACTCTTAGCCCTCTCTGTAAATTATAAACTTTTTGGCACTGCTCCTTCTGTCCCATGAAGGGACTTCATGGATGAATCTACCTATTTTTCCAGGTATGCACCATTATTCACTGTTCTCCTTTGGTATACATATGTGCTGGTGTCACACAGTGTCATACAGCTGGTGACTTCAGAAATAGGACACAGCTCAGAGGAGTCTGAACCAAGGTTTGCTCTTTCCCAATTTCCCTGCAGCCTGGTCTGAGAAAGGCTCTGGTGTCGATTGGCAGCACAGTTTGGCCAGACTGAAGTCAGGCCACCCATGTACTTTCTCTACATGCCCCATATCCCACCACAGATGGCATCAGAGCAGTCAGTCATAAGGCAAGCCTGGAGCAGAAGGATCTTCTTCCTTCTCCCTCTGTGAAACACCCTTCATTGTATGGGGCTTTGTAGGGCTGAGAAAACCCCCTCCCCACATTCCAGGCTGGACCCACATCTGCCCTGGGAAATCAGAGAATAAGGGGAGGAAGCGTCTCCAGAGATGTAGTGGAAGGGTTCAGATTTGGGATTTGCTTGCGTCCGTGGACACAGGATAGGAAATAACTTCTCCCAGGCTCTTTTCTGAAAACTAGACAGACTCGATCCAGAGCCTCATGTTGATGGTCCAGGGAGCCACTTACCAGAGACTGTGATAGTCTTGACTGTGGTCCTATTGAGGCCAGTGACAGAGTTATGAACGAGGCAGGCATAGGATCCACTATCATTCGCACTGATGTTGGGGATAAAGAGCTCCTGTGTGGATTGCTGGGGCCTCCCATTGATAAGCCAAGAATACTGTGCGGGTGGGTTAGAGGCCGCGTGGCAGGAGAGGCTGAGGTTTGCCCCTGGATGGTAATAGGAGTCTGAGGGGGAAATGATGGGGGTGTCCGGGCCATCTGGAGCAAACAGAATAAAGCCACATGTGATGTAATCATGGGGAAGGAGAAGCTCCTGGTATATTCAAGGGCCACAGTGTCCCTCTGAGCTGGGTCGTAACCTTGTTTAAAAAGTCCCAACCCTGACCCCTCTGTGTTCGCTCATCCTGAGTCTGAGACATTAACCTGTTTCTCCCATCACAGGTTGTTGACCCTGAGCCTCAAGACAGGAGCAGACTGTCCTCTCCTAGTCTTGTCTCAAGGATGGGCCTGCCAGATTTACCTGAGACGGGAAGCCATGGCCAGCCTAGTGTCCAGGGGTGAGGGTCTGTGTACTTGGACTCGAGAGGGATGGATGTGGCCTGGCCTCTGGCACTGTGTATTTGGGCAGGCAGCCTGGGTCAGGTAGGGACAGAAGTTACTCACAGAGAACATTGAGGTAGAATGGGTCACTGCGACGGGCACTCACTGGGTTCCGGGTTTCACACTCATAGGGTCCTGTGTCATTTCTTGTGATATGAAGTAAAGTGAGAGTCCTCTTGTCCAGGGACAGCTCCAGCCAAGTGCTGTCCAGGAGGCTCTGATTGTTGATCGACCACAGGTAGGTGGTGTCCTGAGTCTCAGGTTCACATGTTAACACTACAGGGTCCTTGTGCTCCATGGGGTTGGAGTTGTTGCATGTGATGTTGGGTTTGTTTAACTCCGCTGTATAGATAACAGAGAATACTGCCTTGTTGGTACCTTTGATTCCTCCAACGTCAGCTTCAATCAGAGTTGGCATCTCTCACTTCTCAGCCAACCCAAGTCCTTAAAAGAATAAGGCAGGCCTATGTATATCAAGACAAATGCATGAGGATCTGAGCACTCAGAGAATGTAAGGCTGCCTGCTCTATGTCTGGGGGAAAACACAGACTTTCCCAAGTCAAATAAGCATCAGGGTTGGTCATGAAATTCACAGAACTGGGTCAGAGACCACCCAGCACTTCTGCTGGCTCTTCACTGACCAGCTAACTGTCTGACCAACCTTGGGATCCTCACCTGGAAACTGTGGGTGCTGAGGTCCTTTCTATTACACAGACCTACATCGCCTAGCGTAGAAGTGTTTTCCCTGAGGCCTTGCTTTCCAGGGTTGTCCTAGAGGTGGGTAGTGATGGGCCTTCCTATGGTTCTTAAACCCAGAGAGGATTGAACATGATAGTCTGGGAGACCAGGGAGACCAGGAGCAAGCCTAGAGGTCAGCTCAACACTCAAGATGCAGGGCCATGAAGTGGGGCAGGTCTGCCCAGGTGTTCCATGGTGACTGGCATGAGACAGTGACTCCATAAAGGCTAGAGCAGAGTGAAGACTAGAAATGATCCAGAAAAGAGTGAGGGGGACAGGGGGGAGCTGGCTGGATTTGGCAGCAGAGCCATCTGCTCTGCCCTTGGTCTTTAAGGTCTCTTCTCCCACAGCAGAGGGCAGTGAAGACCATGTTGATCTTTCCTGAAATATAAGTGGATGTTTTCAAATGCAGAAGGGGTGACTGGTGAAAGGCACGGGGTGGGGGTGGGGGATGGAATCTAGCCCTTATGGATTATTTGTAAACACAGTTATGAGACAGAAATCTGAGGAGAAGTTAAATTGTTTCCATATTGAAAATTAATATTAATGCCCCGAAGATCTAAGACCAGTTTCTGGAGGAATATCTCTCTAGAAAGCACTAAAGATCATAGACTAAATTCTGCAGTCCAACCAGGATCACATTATGATTAAAGGAAGATGCTAAAGGGGGTTTGAAATCAGTGGCTCCCTGGATAGATAGAGAGATGAGTCTGTTAAGAGAATTGATCAGGGGGCAATTCTGAGGTGTCTCTGTTATATAACGGAAGGAATGCTACTGAATTAGTCAAAATGATATGTGTTAAATTTAGGAAAGAGGACCCTATCACCAGTTTCTATGGACAGTCAGGCTAAATGGGAAGGAGGTCTAACAATTGCATGTAGTTTTCTTTGAACCTCAGGAAATGCAAGTTTGATCAAATTCATCCAAATTGAGCAGCATCTAAGTGAAAGGGCAGTGACTGGTAGATCTCACCATCTGTGAGCATCCCACCCTGTGGTAAAGGTGTCATCATGAGGACCTATGTGTGTGAAACAGGCAGCAAACCAGTCAGACAGTGCAGGGTCTGGCCAGCCCCACCTTGGGAAGTTCTCAGGAACCACTGGAAGAATGGGAGCCTCACGAGGATGAGGATGTGAGTCAGGAGTCAGAGTGGTGAAATGAGCCTGTGAGCTTTTGGGGACCGCAGACCTGTCCGTCTGCCTTTGACTCCCTAGTTGAGTCACAAAGAGTAGATTGAGGGGTAACATGTCTCGGTCACCTGGCGTGTTCCACTTGTTGACATCAAGGAGGGAAAGATCCCTGAATGGGGGCAAAGCAGAAGCTAGTTCTCTTGGTGACCTGGGGGAACTAGCTTGTGATGGATCCTCAAGGGGCTGCTGTTCCCACTGATTTCTGTGTGCTTTACTGTTGCCCAGGAGTCTGGGCCTGACCATAGGTGTTAGCAGAAGAATCTGAGGAAGGCTTAAGAGTGGGGGAAGCTGTGCAGTTCCAGCTGGAATGAAGCAGGTGGAAGATGAGGGACATGGAAGGAAGTGAGAGAGCCAGACACATCAAAGGTTGTGAGCAGTGGGGTTTACAAGTGACTTCAAAGATCCCAGAGACCAAGAGCCTGTGGCTACCCCAGGAGCAGGACCAGAATAGCCCAGAAAACCTTCCCATGCTGAGCAGCCCCACAGTCATCATGATACCCTCCTCTCAGAGAGGCCTTAGGGACTAGTGGTCAGAGGGATGGAACATGGGTCTCAGCCCCTGGGGAGATAGGGAACAGTATCACCATAACCTCTTAGGACTCTGCATCCAGGTTTCAGTCTGTGAAGAGATAATGGATCGTTCATTCATTCATTCACCATTCATTCTCTCCCTCCTTCATGAGAGAGCAATTGAGTTGTTGGGACTTGTGCTGGCTGCAGGCGTAGAGTGGCAATGAGAAAGCAAAGCCCTTTCCTTTATACTCCAGTGGGAGAGACACCAACACATAAGGAAACAAATAAGTGATATCAAGTCCTGTGCAGGGAGAGTATGGATTGGTCACCTGAGGGGGAGGCCTGGACATTCCTGGCACTGACTCTGATTGTTGGTGAGGGTAATTTAGTTCTTGAGTAAAAACAGGTTAAATCTCCATTTACTGTCACTCCTCAGACCAGAAAATCTACTTTGAGCTGTGGATGCCTAAGAAAAAGGGATCTGATCCAACCGTTGGTCTTGGGGTCCATAGACACTTAATAAGGCCCCTGGGGTGGTGGAGAGGTCAGGGCTGTGGTTGCACAAAGATCTCGCCATGCCTCTGATCTGATGTTCATGGTTTGTGGCCCTGATTCAATGCTTATATCTCTTTGTGCCTCAGTTTACCCTGAATAAAATCAGGTAAATGGTCTCTAGATTACCAGGTTGTCTGTGAGTTAACCTTAAAGTATCCCCAAATACCTGACCTAAAGCTTAGTATTGAGGACCTGCCTAAATAAAGGCAACTACATGCTATTTGCATTCATGAGAGAGAGCTCTCTGGGCCTTATCCCTGGTGGATGAGCAGCTGCCAGGAGGCTCTTCTCTCTTCTGTTCCTCCCTGGTGATGCTGACCATCCTTTGGAGTCCCCTATACCTCCAGGGCACGTGGCTAATGGCATGGGGACCTTGTCCATCTGTGCTCTCCCTGCCAAGTCTCAGGTGAAGGATCAGGCTCTGTCCCCGACCAGATGTGGCTCTTAGGGCCGAGCCCTGGCTGGTGACTGTCTCAGGAGCCTCAGGACTCAGGCAGCTAGGAAATCATTGCTTCCAGAAAGTCCTGCCCAGGAAGCCAAAATCCAACCCCGGCATAGGCTCCCCAGGGTCACTGGAGTCAGGAGCACTGGGACAGGGATCTGGGCAGGGGCTTCCCAGGGCTGAGCTGCTCTGTGAGAATCTCAGGGCCCCCCACAGACCCGGCTGTGACCGAGCCCTGCAGGATCTGCCACAGAGTCATGTTCACAGGGAGGGGCCCAGGGGGCTGGACTGAGACTGACCTTCCTCTGCTGAGTTACTCCCATCAGACTGTCCTTCTCTCTGCAGGGAATATCTGCAAGGGCTGCATTCTGGGAAAGGATTTCTGATCTTATGAAGTTTGTCTCCACTATGTGAGCCTGCACTAAAAGCTTAAACCTCAACCTGAGACATAATGCAGAGGGAGATATAGGCATAGCCCATGGCTGTCAATCCTGCATGTATGAAGTAGAATCACCCCACCCAACAGCCAGAGGTCAGACAGGAATCACTCACGGTATACGCGGAGCTGTCCAGTTCCTACTTCACCTTGATAACTTGTATTTATGACTTGTAGGGTGTAGTATCCTGTGTCCTCCTGGGTGACATTCCGGAACAGCAGGGATCCATTAGAGTATATTGTCTCTCGACCACTGTATACAGGCCCTGGGGTAATTTCTACTGGGCCTATCTTATATGATGCAATTTGTTGATGGTGATCTACTTTGTCCCCTTTGTACCAGCCATAGGCTGCAAGATTCCCAGGCAGATTACGGACAAGGAAAATAACATCCTTCCCTTCAGCAACATTGGTTGGCATCGATTCAATAGTGAGTTGGGCAGTGGTGGGTGGGTTCCAGAAGGTTGAGAGTAAGACTAGGAGGAAAGAGAGAGAGATCAATCAATATTTGGACCTATGTATTGGGATGGAAAGATGAGGCCCTGGGTCCTGACTGGTCTCTTCCTCTCTTAGACTTGGAGTGTGTGTGTGTTGTATGTGCACGCATGTGTGTGTATGGATGTGCGTGTGTATCTCCTACTGGTCAAGGTCAGCAGCATGACCACCATTACTTCAGCCCCTTTGATCTTGTTATTTCCTCTGTTCCCATTACTCTTCCCCAGGTGTCTGCTCAGCTCACTCCCTCCCTGCCCTCAGCGCCCTGCTCACTCTCAGGGGCATCCTTGGGAGATGCCTTCCCTATCACCTGCTCTAAAGACCCTCTGTCTTCACTTTCTGACCTTTCCCTGCTCGGTTCCCTTCATGACACTTGTCAGTTCCTGACATCACATTCTAGATCTCTTTGCTCATTTGTCTTCCTCCCCATGGATTGTGAGCTTCATCAAGACAGGGACTTGTCTGATCTTGTTGTTCTCCCAGTGCCTGGAACAGGCTGCAAACACCTGTGGATGAATGAATGAGTGTCCCAGGGCCCTCCATGTCCTGGTGTTTATGTGCTATTTTCTACAGCTGCCGGGCAAAGACAATGTTTAGTTCCCCTGCTTAAGTATTTTTTTCCCCTGTCAGCAATTGTGATCATTGTCATCAGTTTCCAGAATTTCTTGTTCAGAGATGATTAACTCATAGAACATACAGCAATTGAGGTTTTCCTGCCCTTCACGAATTCCAGTTCCCTTAGATTTTCCTGTTGCTGAGTTCCCTCCCCCACCCTACTCTGCTCCTGGGTCCTCTCTCCTTAGGTCCAAACAGAAACCGTCTGTCTCCTCTCAACTCCTATCCTCCTAGGAGACCCCAGCCGGTCTCTTTTCTTCCATCCCCCTGCCCACCCTCAGGGAACTGCCCCTTCTCACCAGCCAGCAGGAGCCCCTGCCAGGGGACACACCCTTTGCCGGCAGGGGCTGTTGGGAGTTCCATGGTGTCTGCTGCCTGCTCTGTCCCTCCCTCCGAGAGAAGAGCCTGGGCTCCAGAAACGCTCACAAGCACTGCTGCTCCTGAAGCCTCAGCTCTGCTGTCCTTCCTCCCTCTGCGCTGAGCCTCCTCCTGGGGCAAGGAAGCTTTTTGGGTCACATGGGCTGGGGGCGGAGTCTCTGACCAGGACCCTCCCCCTCTTTCCTCTCATTCCTGCCTCCTTTATCCATACTTTCTCTTTCCTTTCTATCTATTTCTGTTTTCTGGGAACTGCTGCGGTCTCTGCCTTCTTTAGCAGTGATTGTCCCGCCCCCTAACAGACGTTTCTGTTTGGACAAGCACAAGCCTGGGACGTTGGTGCCCTGGGCAGTCCCCACAAGCTCCTGGTCTGTGTGCACAGTCAGCTTCCCCCGCCGCCCTCTCTCATCCACATCTGGCTTTTTTTCTTCAGAGCAGAAGCCCAGGAGCTACATCAGGAACTCTTGTCACAGGGATGTCACCCCTGCTGTGCATTGGAATCACCTGTGGAACTTTATAAAGATGGTGACTGTCCAGGTGACACCTTAAAAATGCTCTTTCAGTAGCTGCCCTGGTAACATAGATGCCCTGCCAGGCTGAGATCCCAAGGAGGGAGGAGTGGGGGAGCCTCTTTCCCTCTCCTGTGTACAGGGAGGGTCTGCAGATGCTATTAAAAATACAGATTCTAACCCAGCAGGTGTGGGGTGGACCTCAGAGTCTGCATCTAACAAGCTCTCAGGTGATGCTGACCACACTGGCCTGTGGAGCACACTTTCAATAGCACGGCTGATGGGGACCCCTGTTCCTGACAGGATTACAGCCGTGCCCCAGCACTGGGCCTTGGGTCTGTCAGCACTACACAGAGACCCAGGAGTCCCCAAATCCAGGGGATTATTTCCACTTTTGATACAGAAACCCTACTGGGCACCAGGGTCTTCCCAGTGTCCTTAAATGCTCTGGGAAGGTTGGATTTACTCCCAGCAGGAATGTCACAGAGATGACTCAGGGGCTGAGAAAAGGGCAAGCTGAGTGGTGACTGCTGATGGGGACCTGCCTTCCATCTTCAGGTGTCACCAGCCTCTGACAGCCTGTGGCTCTACTTTCAGGGACAGACACCCAGTACCAGTGTCTCAGGAGGAGTTGCAGTTGCCGGATGTGAAGGGGCAGGTTTCCTGTGTGTCCTGAGTGAGAGGATACTGGTGGTGGGAGGTCAGGTGGCTGTGGGCTCCCTGGTCCTCAGGGGAAGGTTTCAGGGAGACCCTCCCTCTCCATGTGTGTTGGCTGAGCTGTGGCTCAGAGCCTATCCAGTTGCTCCCTCACCATCCTGGAGGCCTCTGTCCTCTGCCTGGCTGACCTTCCTGTGGTCACCCTGCCTTCCCCATGGGTGGTGCCAGGCAGGCAGTGGGGAACAACACAGGGACCCCTGACAGAGCAGGGTGCTCTGAGGCCCTTAGAAGGGACAGGCAGGACAGAGCAGACACATAGGAGGGCCCAGAAGGATCTGCTGGACCCAGGGATAGAAATCAGGTTCCTTCTCCTGATTAGCCAAAGCCACATTCCTGGGTTAATTTCCTGCTAATTATGTGTGTGTGTGTGTGTGTGTGTGTGTGTGTGTCCCAATGTTGCGCCCTGGAGGGCACAAGGAGACCTGTAGCCAGTGTCAGGAGCCTCACCAGGGTTGCTGACCAGGCTCAAGAGGGTGTGAACTGGCCCTGATCCCTGGACAGAGGTGGGCTCTGACCTCCATGCTGAGGGGCCCTTCATCCTGTGTCCTGGTTACTGAGGGACCCCAGGCTGCCCAGCTCCATCCCACTGCAGGGTGAGCCCAGGAGGAGGACAGGCTTTGTCCGGTAGACTCCTGATCTAGTGTCCTTTGCTGCCTGGTGAATGTGCTGCCTCAGGAGGAGCTCTCTGTCCTTGAGGTTTCAAAGAAAGGGCCCTGTGAGTGATCTATTGAGGTCTCAAGGAACTCTGGGAGGCCTCAAGGCCTAGGGGGCTGGTCCCCAGAATGACCTGTGTTTCTCCCATCTCAGCAGCAGGACATTGCATCTGAGTCATCTGTGTCCCTGTCTGTCACGTGCTCTAGGTCTCCTCACAGGGCCCAGGACCTGGAGGGGCTCCACGTGGAGGCTTAGCCAGGGGATCCTGTGGGCTCCTCTGTTATAGGAAGGGAGGCCCCTGTGGGATGCTCAGCCCCTCTGAGATGGAAGCAAACATCCCGATTTTCCTGTCCCACCTGGATGGGAAATTCCCGTTGTTCCACCCAACACCTTGGGCTTGTGACATGTCTTCAAGGGTCCACGGCAAGGTGTCCCCACAGACCAGGGACCCTGGGGACGAGGAGTCGCCCCTGATTTGCTTTGTGATCAGGGTAGGCCTCTGACTTCTCTGGTGGTAACTATATCTGGGGTGAAGTATCCAGAGTTTGTGTCAGGTCAGGCTTCTGTGAGAAGAGGAAGGACACAGGCTGCTGGACAAGGGCCTCTGAGGAGAGAAGTCACTCACAAGATGGTGATGGGGAGGGGGTGTGAGTTTTTGAGATGAATGGATATCTGACCCCTCACTGTTATGAGGTCCGTGTTCTCATTCCTAACTCTACAAGGGGTACACTCCTGTCCCTGGTTCAGTCGTGGGCACTTGTTGGCCTCCTCCCATGCTGATGTCAGTGCCCTTGTGTCTACAGTGAATGTGCTCAGATCCTCAGGTGTCACAGGCGGGTGACAGGCTTCGGTTGTATGGTTTCCCTCATCCATTTAACAGTGTCTATTAAGTATCTATTACTGGGTGCAGACAGGGATGGCTGGATATCTGGCTTGGCTTGTTTCCCATCCTTTAGACATTGTGGCTAGAGTGGAGGCTTCTGTTCAGAGTCTCTGCCTGGGGACAAGGAAGGGACCTGATGTTTTTATCTCTCATCAGGGATTAATCATGGTAGCCTATGCATTGGCTCCGTCTCCTGCTCTCACGACAGGTTTCTTGTTCTACCTCGGTCTCCCCTCTTGGCGCCGCCTGAGGCCTCAGCACCAGTTCCCTGGCAAAGAGTTTTAAATGCTCTTGGTGCTGAGCCCAGCAAACCCTCCACTTCATGTTACACTCTTGCATTGGAAATGAGAGCCAGGTCATGGAATCAGGGCAGCTCCTGGGAAAGTATCTCCAATCCTTGGGGATGCCACCTGTACAGACTGGCAGGTCGGTGCTGTGGCATCTTGGCAGGTGATGGTGGGGTCCGGGCACGCTGAGATCTGAGTGCGGGGTCACTGCTTTCCAGTAGGAATTCAGCTTCCAGAACTTCCCCATGTCTGTGGATGCCAGAGGCAAAGAGCATAGGGTCCTGTGACGGTTGAGAAGGAGCCACAAAAAGAGCTTGGAACTCTTTGGTCTCGGGCCGCACATCGCCCATCAGTGCTCTGGGGACTTGGCGACATCAGAGCACAGGGACAGCCTGGGGTGCCTGTGCTGTCTTGAGGACCAGGAGACCTCCAGCCTGGCCTCCTCCTGCTGCTGGTCACAGGTATTGAGATCTGGGAGAGGGCCCAGGAGCCGCCTCTAGTTCCCTTTTGAGATTTAAAGGGAAAAGGGGGAGTCATTTCTACCAGGTCACAAAGTTGTAGATAGCCAATTGCCAGAAGAGTGTGCTTACATCATTGTGAAAATGAACATAATGCACTGGAAAGGAAAAACAAATAACTATTTTAGTTTTATCAGTAACTGTAATGTATGTTTTATTCTCTAGTTCATTGTTAATGTAACTTTTGTAGTTTAGCTTTTAAGGAAATGGCAAAAGCTGCCAGAATCTGTGTTTCAGCCTAGGAATGTGGGTTTTATGTGGACTCTCCTGTGATTTTAAACTTTCATGCGTTCCTGTAGATCTTCTGAGAACACTAATGTGATTTCTCTTTGTCCATTTCTACTGGTCATCTCTTTGGAGAGAGTCACACTTCCCCCTAAGAGTTGGAAAGCATCTGATACCAAAAAAATGTGTCCAAATCCTTCTAGGTAATGATGATGGCACTCAAGTGGAGGTCTGTTCAAGGTGGGTGAAGGCAACTGTTTTGGGGAAATTTTCCCTCAAAATCATGAGCAGAAGACATCTCTTGGACCTGTCACAATGTTGTATGGATGAAGGACAGAAGTAGAGGTCAGTAATTTAAGTATCAAATGCTAGATGGACAAGAGATTCTGCTTAGAGTGTGAGAGTGGACAGGTGAATGCTGAGGACACTAAAAAGAACCCCTCTCCCTCTAATGAGGGAGCATCAAAGGCTCCTCTGCTTCGGAGAGGGGCCCTGGGTTGCAGGGGCCTAGGGGGCGGGCACTGTCAGTCCACACTTGCTGGGAACGAGACCCCAACACTAGACAGTCTCTGACAAAGTCCATTTTTTGGGTGTAGATTCACATTTAAGGAATGATGCAAGGTATACGATTCTGAAAAGAAGAGAAACTCCTGTGATATAATTTTCTTCTTAATAAGTATTTTTCCTAATGATAGAATGACTTTGAATTCATTGGTAAGAGGCCTCTTAAGATGGTAAGAACTTCAGAGTAGACTGTCTAATGACGTTGCATATAGATTTATCATGTATTTTTTTCATCTCAACGTCTATAATATTTCCCTCATCTCACTTTGCAGTGTAACCCAGTGGTGTCATTCTGACTTGTGGTTACACTCTTGGAAAAACCACAGTCTTCCAGCTCCAACTTACAGGCATCTGTAAGTTAATCACCCCTAAATATTCCTCCTTCTGATCTTAAACTTGCCCTTAGGCCATGGTCAGCACTAATCTCTCAGATCTCCTGGTCCCTTTTGCTCTTCTTCCAGCAGGAACCATCCACTAGAGGGCACTCATGCTCCCCATGAGCTTCTGTGGACCTTTTCCATCACCTGAGACCAGTGCAAGTGTTCTTACTGCCACAACCCCCAGCCCTCAAACACTCTTTAGGTTTGTTCTGGGTGAAGCTGCTGGGACAGACATCAGGGACCCCAGGGAAGAACCTCCCATTGGGAGGATGTGGCACCCTGGACTGGTGACCTGGAGCCAACCCCAGGAGCAAATCATTTTGGAGAGGGAGATGGCACAGTGGACAGTGAACACTGGACACTCAGGGCCCAGATGCCCCTGCCCAGGTGTGGAC